TCATAGGGCGAAATCGACGATGTAATGCGGAGGCTGCATAAAAAATGACGCATGCAAAGACATCCGTATGGTTACTGAAATATAAAGGTGTTGTGTATATAATCTGGGGCTGTAGCTCCCTACGGCGACTTAGTCAATGCTTCTGAGGACTAGACTTATGACTTCCTTGTACCTGTTTTCCAGCAGGGAGGTAGCACAGTGCGCGAACAGCATCACGGCGCAAGCCTCATTGGTGTTGCTGCGAAAATCTTCGCCGTTGTTATTCTCAAGCTAAACAAAATCCAGATGGGATTCCTATCTAGGCGTATGCCAGATATTAAAGTGTAGTGTCATCTTTACTTCAGCCATGGTTACTGGAAGCCGAAGACCGTTTGCTCCGTTGACCTCTTCCAAAGTCTTCGGTTCCGTCCATCAGGAGTCCCCGTGACGGATGCTAGAACTAGCTGTTATGCCGACAAATTCCATAGCCATAATCACTTTCTACTATTAGTTAATATATACAGGAATTATGATCCACAATACGTTCCTCCAGACGATCGATATTCGATCTTGTGCTCAATAAGGTGATATTCTGTTACCATTTCGTTTCAGCTACGAGAATATCGGGGTTCTCAGAGGGCCTCCACAGGGTTTTGATGGTGTTTACTTTGAACCTTGGTGCCTAATGACTGAGTTCATCTATGCCGATGGTATCGTCTTTCCAGTGTCAAACTTTGGTGATGTAGAAACTCTGATGTCGCGGGTGAACGAAAATGCCACTTCGGTTATTTTATCTAGAAACGATGCCAACTCGATGAAGACTTCAAAATAACTCGGGGTACGATTGCCACCGAATAAACAGAAAAGAAATGACATAGCTACTCGAAGCAAGAATGCCCGCAGTGTTCTCAAAATTTATGGAGTAAGTCTATGGGCTGGACATGGTATCTATATCGCTTCAAAGACCGGTACGGACGGGAAATCTATCCAGTCAGTTCACTTCAATCCTGACCAGATGGTAGCGCCGAGCAGTCCATGCATACTGTCACAATTAGTTAGAATGTCGTTCTTCGTAAAACTTGCCTATTTATTTTGCTTAGGTAGGTGTGCTTCGTTACGGTTGTCCGCCAACAGGTGGCAGGAGGTAGTATACGGTAAGAGGAACTTACAT